GTCTTAAAGGGTTAAGGATTCAGAGCATCATTCCCACATCATCTCGGTACAGACGCCTGAACACAAATGTTTGATGGATCTTAGTTGACATGTTATCGGAGAGCCCCGTAAATTCACCATCACAAAACTTTGCTAAAAGCCGTTTATTTTATTTTTTTTAAGTAGGCGGAGCTTTTCCTTATTATGTCCTTCATAAACTTAAATATGTAAAATGTTAGGGGGGAAAGTGTGGTGATACCCACTGCTGCCTCTCTTTGTGACATGTTATGCCCACAAATAGAGCACCACCCTGCACATATGTTTTCAAACAGCTAACATTTCAATGGCAAAAGGTTTAAGGGGCTAAAACTAACTAAAAGTTTACTATATCTGTTTTATATACAGCTTTTGGACAGAATGAGTCTTTCCTATGTATTCCAACTGTTTTGTTTTTTGTTTTTTTTATTTTAGACCTCTTTTTAGCCTTTATTTTTCACAGGGCTGTAGAGTAGACAGGAAAGCAGGATGTGGTCCGGGTCAGACTCTAACCCAGGCCCCCCCCCCGCACTAGCCTTTCGGCATGTGGGTCACCTGCTCAATCTAGTAAGCTCTACTGGTGCCACAGCCAGTTATTTTTATCCCAGCTGATGTCAGATAGTTGGTAAATCGACTAGCAACACCACTGTGCTTGTTCATTGCATGTTGGATCCTATTTAAACACACTCCTCTAACCACGTCATGGAATCAAAAAGTGGTCAAATTGTAGCAATCTCCTTCTTCCCCTGACTCTGGTTCTTGGTGCTGAGTTCTTTTAAATAACTTTGGAAATAAGTTTTTAATTAGGTTTATGTCATATAACCTTTTTAAAATGTTACTGCCTTGTCACAGGTGACCTAGAAAGCTGACCATGGCGACCCTGAAACTATAGACTGATGGATCAAAGTTAGGTAGCTACCAAAAATTAGCTAATTAACTCTCACCTTTGCTTTGACAGGGAAGAATTTCTTGTCCTTCATCTCTGAAAATCTAGCCTTTTTATGCTTTTACCTGAAATATAAGATTCAACACTGACACTTTCTCACACACAGCAGGGACTGAATTCAAGGATTTTTAACAAATGTGTGGAGTGTTGAGATTTGGGATGTTGCATTATCCTGCGGCAGCTGCAACGGCAGCGGTGCAATATTGATTTTAATGCTTGTTGTTATACCAATTTAATTCAGTTAAATTCAGTTCAGGTTTATTTATATTCACAACAACAGTAATTTGAACATGTTTTATACTGTAAAGTATGCAACTTTAAAAGTTAGATAATATATGATGATAATATATTATATTATCATCATATATTATGATATCCACTGCCACAGTGTCATCATTCATTTATTTGATTGTGATCACCGTGTAGTGAAAATCTGATGTTGACAGCCATGTGTTGATGGCAGTCTGGTTTAGATATAGTTTGGCGCTAAAAAAAAACAAAAAGCAAACAATTAAACAGATTTGTGGCTGTGAAAATTGTCCCACTGAGGGTTTCGTGTTCTGACCCTGCAGACTGTCTGTGAAAGACAGACATGTAACCAGACTGATGTCACTTTTTGTATTTACAAGATCTTGGGATGCCATGTTGTTTTTTTGTAATCAAAGGGTTTTTTCTAACCTTGTTCAAAAAGGACTTCTTCCTGTTCGTTCCTTTCACAATAGAAGTCTTTGACATACATAAAAATTATATTCATTGCATAAAGTAACTATTTAAAAATCATAATAATTCTTTTCTTTTTTTCTAACAAGTTTCATGAACATATAGATTCCAGTGTGTATGTACACTTTGCTAGTTCCAAGTTTGCCTTCTACTCCAAATCTTTGTGGCACAGACTCAACAAGTTGCTGGAAACATTTCTCGGAGATTTTGAGCCATATTGAGGCGACAGCATCACACAGTTGCTGCAGATTTGTTGAAGCTCCCATTGTATCGAGAGCCGGTTACTGTGGAGGTTGTTTGAGTACAACCTCCACAGTATCATGTTCGAGAAACCAGTTTGAGATGAGCTTTGTGACATGGCATGCACCACAAACCAAGACTCATCTGACCAGGCAGCGTTTTTCTGATCTCCCATTGTCCAGCTTTGGTGAACCCGTGGGAACTGTAGCCTCAATTTCCTGTTTGTAAGTGAAGGGAGTGGCACACCAGTGTGGTCTTCTGCTGCTGTAGCCCATCTGCTTCACGGTTCAGTGCGCTATGGATTCTGGTTATTTGAGCTACTTCCTGTCAGCCCAAAGCAGTCTGGTCACTCTCCTTTGACCTCCAGCAAATCTTCGCGCCCCCCCAGCCACTCACTGGATATTTTTTTCTTTTTCAGACCATTCCCTGTAAATCCACAGGATGGTTGTGTGGGAAAATACCAGTAGATCTTAAATTAAAATTTGGCTTTAATTCAAGTTTTCCTTTATAAATTTACACGTTAATAAAAAAAAAAAACACACAAAGAGAGAAGAGAGTGTAACTTTAATAAAAGAAATCAACTTTAAAAGTTAGATGAAAGGAAAGCTTTTCATAGAAATAAGCAAAAAGTATAGTGTAGTCTTTTTTTTTATTTTAAACAAAAATTTTATAGAGTTTGAAGGAGAAATCCGTCACACAAAAAGCAAATTTCTCCTCAGTGAGAGCAGCTTTAGTAGAGCGGCATGCACAGCAGCCCCGAAGGACGCTGCTTTTTGACTGATGTGCACAGCTCCTCGCTCTTTCTTGAGCAGGAAGCCTCTCATCCTGCTGCTCTAACAATGCTGCAGCCACTGCACTCTCCACCTACGTGTGTAACCCACGGCTCAGCGCAACAAGTTCACACCTTCCTTTCTGGGGGTGGCCATTGTGGGAAAGATAACGAATGGCTAACAAAACAGAAACGGCGCAGGCATGCTGAGGGAACGCTGCTTCAGCGGGAAGGTGAATTAAAGACAATTTATCAGAGGATAAATCCTGAAATAAATGCAGTCATTTTCCTTTTAACCAGCAGCCTTCTCCTCACAGGCTGATGTGTGGCGAGGGATTTGTAGACAGAGAGAATGGCAAATAACCAACCCCTAAAATGTAACCGCTTGCTACTTTTAATCATTAATGTGCGCTTTGGAACTCATCCCGCTCGTGTCCTTTTTTCCCCGCTTAAACAAAAGGAGAATGACAAAAAAAGCCATTTGCAGATTAGCAGAGGGATTAACAGTAATATGGTTTATCCCACATGTGGTATGTAAGCTGACATCCCCTCTTACACAAAGACATGCCTGGACATCACATTATAAGCAGGATTTGTTTCTCCTCTCCTCCTCTTCTGTGTGCATTGTAGTCATTAAACAATAACAAAGGTAGCCAGAGGTGCAGAGCGAGCGAGATGCTGCTTTTCTAAAGATGCTATACCTTTGCTTGCTTCCCCGCAACACCGTCAAAACGATCGCTGTTTCCTTGCGTCTGAGATAAATTGTACATTGTTAGAAGTTGGGGAGGGGGAGAGTTATTGTATGGGAGGAACAAAAGGAGCAAGTTGGAGGGCCTTCTGCACAGCGTAGGCCACTCTGATCTGAGCGTGAGCGATGCGCCACATCAGCTGCTCCTTCTTCCTTATTGTTTGATATGCGGTGAATCATCAGTTCTGCCGAAAAGTGCTGAAGTTTGTCAGAACAGTTTATTTAGGGTGAAATTTATTTTTTCATCTTCATTCTCCCGTTCTGCTATGTCTGTCTGCGTCTCTCCTCGCCGCCTCCCCCCTCCACCTGCTCCTCTTTTATGATGCTTCAAATTCAAACGTGTAATAGCAGACAGGATTTAAGGCCGACTCTGATGGGAGATGGAGCACACCTTTTGAATATGCTGCCAATTACCGCTTCACTCGCTCTCTGTCCTGACTCCAAACTAGAGATCTGAGGTGTCAGAGCCGAGAAGTAAGCAACTGCACGGCACTTGAAAGGCTGAACATTAACAGAGTGTTAATTCAGAAAAAAGAGCAGATAAATGGTGCCGAATGCATTTGGAGGCAAATGCTACACTTAGGAAATTAAAGGAATACGCCGTGGTTTTGGTATGTTGGCTCTTTGGTCCACTTACCAGTTAAATCATGAGAACACAGACACTAAAATGTGCTCCTGGGTGGCCGCTGAGCTCCATGCTGCTGAGCAAGAGCACTGACCTTTGAGTAATAAAATGTTCTTAGTGGTTTAATTATCTGGCCTGTAGATGCATGAATCTAAGAGATGAAATATCATTAATTCAATACAGCTGATTCAGGCTGTTATTTTTAGATATGTTTCAGGTGAGAACTGTACTTTATTTAAAGATATATATTTATAGATATACCCAATTCACCCGTGGACGCATTATTTTCTGTCATGTGAGAGCAAATGTACTCCTTAGAAAGTATTTATTACTCATGTTCATACTTTATCTATTACTCATGTTGTACATTTACCACATTAAATCACACTGAGTTATTTGAAAGGCCAAAGGCAGTCAGAAAAAATTAGTTTTTAAGTCTGTTCATCCGGCTTTTTGGCAGCGTGTGTCTCAAGTGGCCACTTGAGACTGGCTGCAAAAGTGAGCCATTCTCCATGGACTTTCATGCTAAAATTCCCAACTCTAAAAGCATCTTTGTAGAAGCCTGATTTTGGCTTCTGTAGGAAAGGTGCACCTTCATAACAGCTGTACAGGGGGGATTTCATTTATAAGTCACTGGCTGGAACTTTATTGAAGCATAATGTTTGCATATTTCGAGTTGTGGGTGCTAGCTACAGATCTAACTAGCATCCATGCATGTAAGCATGCATGTAGCATGTAAGCTAGCATCCATGATTTCAAGTCATAGAACAAGTGTTGGGAGTTTATGCTTTCGGTGCATTTTTTACCCAACTGTCTTCACTTCTTGTTCTTTTCTTCTTTTGGCAGCTAATTATCATTCAGTTGATTCCAAAAAAACAACAACGTCATAGCTGCTAAAATGCTAACACTTAGGCACTGAGGCATTGCCATGTGTTCATTAGTTTGTAAATGCTGCAATGCTATGTTGTTGCCAGAAGTGACCACATCTGAGTTCCAAGTTATCAGCCCACAGCTTGTTTAACAAGGTGGATTCATAGACTTTATGGGTTCATTGCACAGACAGAGATATCTTGTCATTTGTGATAGTAGCATACAGCTAAAATACTACAGTTTTACTCATTTACAGACTTCTTGCCATGTGATTTTGCAGATAATTACTTCAATAGGCACCTACACCTCAATTAAAATGAAGAGGTCCAGTTCTGAGACTTGATGGAGAGCTCAAAGCCACGTGAAACATTCCTAACTTAAAGCAGTAATTAAATGGAAATGGGAGAAATATTAAAGAAAATCTAACAGTGGACCTGTCACAAAGGGAGGTATTATCTGTTGGGATATAAAAAGGATTTTGTAGCAGGGTAGACATGATCATTTCTGCTGTAAAGTTAGGCATTTTAACATGGGAGTCTATGGGGATTGACTCACTTTAGAAAGCATCCTCAAGTGGCCACTAGAGGAACTGCAGTTTCTGGCAATTTAGCATTCTATAATGATATTTTGCTTAGCGTAGAAAAAAACGAATTTTGCAATCACAACTAAGTAGCTGCAGCTGCTGGTGTGGGGCTATTTAATGTAGCTATTGTTCAGTTTTGTGACTGATTAATCAATTTACTAACTGCTTATTATTTTTGCTTCAGTGTTCATATTCTACACTTTAGAGTCCAGGCATGCTTTTATCTTTTCTTGTTTTCTTTTCTCTCTGTGCCAGCATGTACGATTACCTGGAATACTGCATGAATAGAGCATGTCAATTTATGTATTTTTGCAGATTTTCTCACACAAAAAAACCCTGTCATTAAAAAGAAGCAGGTTTAAATTGCTTTTCGCTCTGATGTTATGTTCCCACTCTGTCAAAAGTTTGCTGTAAAAGTGAGTAGTGACCGGAGTTGAAGGGTGAACGAGGTCACCGGGTCCTCTTGTACCGAGCGCACCTCAGAAAATGCTTTCAGTTATAGACGGTGAAGAGGAAAATGGGCAAACGAGCTGCTGATTATGCAGCAGCGACTCGTTTCTCTCTAAGCAAATAAACATAAGTGGGTAAACTTTTTAGAGTTTGGAGCATTTTTAAAACTCTGATTTTCATCCAGATTTTTGCGTTGTTATTGTCTTCCTGATTCCCCCTAGTTTTTTAAAATCAAAGCTGGACTGATTTTAATGTCATAAAATAACAGATAATCAGAGGAAAACAGAAAATAATGAGTTGGATGAAGCTACAGATTGCCTGCTCTGATCAAATGCACGCTATTCTCTTTGTAAATCTACATTTTTTGGTTGTTGGGTTTTTTTTCTCTCCTCAGGCCTGATCAAGACAGCTCTGCCTGGCATGGACAGGGAAGTCAAAGAAAACTACCAGGTTGTGATCCAGGCTAAAGACATGGCCGGACAGATGGGCGGGCTCTCAGGAACCACAACGGTCAGCATCACCCTCTCAGACGTGAACGACAACCCACCACGCTTCACCAAGAGTGAGTACAGCCCTTCTGGTGGACTTGTGCATGCACACACACAGTGACCAATCCTCAGCTCATGAGAACCACTTGTCAGTGTGAGCCGATGCCAGGCCGGCAGCCCCCATCTGGTGTCAGTTTCAAAATGAATTTGGATTATTGCAGGGAGCTCTGGGTTTTGTGCAACTAAGGCGGGCCTCTTAAAGGCAGCGAATAATTAAATATAGAGCCATATGACAGAGCGAAGGGTCCTGCAAAGTGCATCAGATCAGCCCTGTAATCCCTATTAAATGAAGAGAGTACATTCACTGGGTTTTATCTCCCCTGCTCTTCCTCTCTCTTTGTCTATCTCTTGCTATTAAGTCTTCTGCTGCCTTTTTACTCCATAAAACCACTGTTCTCAATTTAGTGCTCAAACTGTCCTTGGTGCATTTTTCTCCTCTTTTTTGTTACACTCGCACTCATCAATCACTCACTCCTCTTTACTCCTTACGTACTCTCTTTTCACATACTCTCTCCCGTTCTTCCTCTCCCTCGCTCTTTGCTCTCGTTGCATCTGGCAAATAAATGGCGAAGGGAGCCAGATCAGATTGACAGATTACCGATGTTGTCGTGTCCCTCGCTCCCCCCACGCGTTTCACTGTACGGTGGGTGACGCGTGCGCACAGCCGCGAAATGCAAGGCAAACACGCGCCTGTGGAACTCCCACCAGCTCCGGGGGTGGTGGCAGTGGTGGTGGGGTGGCAGCTGCTGTCATTTCAAACCCCTCCACCAATGAATGAAGAGCGAGAGGAGGGAGGGAGGGAGACGGATACGACGGGGATGGCGAAGGTGACAGGAGGGGGGAAGAAAGGGGAAGAAAGAGGAAGAGTGAAGCGGACGGCAGAAAGACAGCCTGTGATAGAGGCGAGGGGGGTGGAGGGGTGGGGGTCGCGGGTAGATTGAAAGAGGAAGAAAGAGGAAGAGATATTGTAATGGGACACCCAGAGGAGGTAGAGTGTCAGGAAGCGATATCATTGTTGTCTGCCGGAGTGATGCCTCTTCTTTTCCACCCAATGCTAAATACCTGTTAGCCCAGGGAAACCTTCTAGTGGTGCAGTGTGTGTGTGTGTGTGTTTGGAGGCAAGTGTCAGCGTCACAGAGACCTGCCGACTCAGGCGTTGCCAAAACACTGTCAGCATGTTTTATTAGTGTGTCACTGCTGTTTGTCTCCGCAGGCTGTGTGTATATCACCCTCGCTCCCCTCCCGCAGTCCAGCTATTTATTTAAGCATACGAGATGCAACCGAGGCCGCCGCGGCCGACAGGCAGCCATCAATTTATCCCCCTTCAAACCAAGAAATCATCTCAGAAAATAAGTGTGGGTGGGGGGAGGGAGAAGAAGAAGAAGCAATTAATTTATGTTGAGCAAATTGGCCCAGAATTGATGTTACATCCTAAACTTGAAGTGGTGAGTCAATACGGCTCGTAGCGACCTACGTGAAAGGCCAAACGTCTGTTTTGGAGCTGAAATATGTTTCGGCACATATGAGATGTCTTTCCGCAGCTAATCTACAAATGTAGCAGCACTAAATCCAACACTCCTTCTGACACGCTCTCCCTCCTCGGCTGGCTCTTACACTGCTGCTCTCTGATTGGTTCTGACTCACTTTCTCCCTGACCTGCTCTCTTGTATTCCTGCTCTCTGACTCACCCACTTACACTCTTTCTTTTTTCACTAACAAGGCCGTAAAAAATACTCACGTTATGACGCTCGTCGGGCTGTCAGGGGTGGCGCTTGCTTCTTTTGTGTCCGGCGCGTCGTGTGTGACTGTGTGTGTGTGTGCGGTTTGTTTTAAATCGATCCCGGGGTACGTTTTAGGGGTTTTGTAATTGCTTTTCGATTAGACTTGAGGAGATCTTAAAAAAGAGGCATTAATTCACCACTTATATGAATTGCATCTTTGTGTGGGAAAAAAATTGAAATCTGGCATGAAAAGAAACACCAAGGGCATGGCCTTGGTTTTTGCAGTCCTACTGCCACACACACACACTTTCAAGCTTTCTCTTTTTTTTTTCTGAACAGCTTCAGTGTTGCTCCGATTAACAAAATCTTTTCATCTCATAAACTCTTTGCAGCCCTCTATGAGTTCAGGGTACCCGAGTCCATCGAGGTTGGGTCTGCGGTGGGAGTGATCCGAGCCATGGACGCGGATATCGGCCAGAATGCGGAGATGGACTACCGGGTTATTGGGAGCGATGGGCCTGGGATGTTTGAGATCACCACCAATAGGAGCACACAGGAGGGTGTCATTTTGCTGAGGAAGGTCAGGCACTCTCTATGGGGAGGTTTTATGGAATCACATGAGCAGTTTTAACACTTTCACTTTGATTTATTCGCCAAAAAAATCCAAATTGTGTCTTCAAGATTATGAAAGCAGCTTGATAGAAATACTGACATGGTTATTATGTTGCAGCTTTTACAGCAGCAAGAATCATAAGCAACAGGCGCTGCTTTGTTATCTTTTTGCCCTGGGTTTCGCCTGTCAGGCTGCAATAACTCTGTGATTGGTGGAGAACTATATGAGCCTCAGGCTTCCTCAGAGGCAGCCCTGCAGACACAAACCAGGAAAAAATTCTGGGAAATATATTCTGCATATTTTCCACTAGAGAAATGCTTTCAAATACATGTTTATTTACAGTAAAATCTTGTTGACACGAGAGGCGTGCATGCACAGGCTGCACAACGACTTCACTCATGCTATATGCATTACTTTGTATTTTATATTTATATATTTATATTATGTGTGCACAAGACTAGCAATATCTCAGCTGTGACTGTATGCGCTGTGCAAACATTGTGTAAATGTTCTCCTAAAAGTGCCCTAAAACTAATAAAAGATGAGATATTAATACAGTTCAACTTACAACCTTTACTTTTTTACTTTTTGTAATACATTACACAAGCACAACAGGAAAATCAAACATAATATAACAAATAAAACACATTCATAAAATTCAGCTTTCATACTCAACAGCATTATGATTTCTTATGATTGCAAGCTTTCACTGTTATTGGCATCACCTAATTAAAAGCCTTAAGGTGCATGTTGTGGTGAAGCAGTGCTATAGAAAGAAACTGAAGTAAAACTGAATTATAATGAATAGAATTATCACCTTAAAATCATAAATGACTTTTTTTTTTTTACACAATTTATAACCTTGACATCTCTAACATAATTTGTTCTTGTTGGAGACTTTTTAAGGATTTTTTTTTGTGTGTGTAGTCAAACAAACTTAATCTCAGGGTATTTTATTCATTTTGTTTAGCAGGAACTTTAAAAAAAAATCTTTTAAAGAATTGGCTAAAAACTTTTCAAATTCAAGAATTTACTTAGAAGTGTTTTGTACTTTTTCTTTAACCTGCTAGGACCTGGCAACCAAAATCACATTTTGGGTTGTCTAGACCAAACTACTACATTTTGCTCTACAAGCGCTTGATATCCACTTAAGCTGGGCAGACACTGTGCGATTTTTTTCAGTCGTGTTATTCAGCTTCTGCTCAAACTGCACGATTGACTTGCAGGGGTTAGAATTATTTCGCAGGTCACGATGCAGGGTCTCACACTATGCGGCCCGATGCTCTGATGCGACCTGAGTGCTCACACTGTGCGTCCATAACATGAAGGTTATAACGGAAAATCTGTCGCTCGCTCTCCCTCTCTGTCTTTCACTCACACAGACACGCACACCACCACCATCAACTTTGCTAAATTGCTATTGAAAAACATTGATCAGGCAGCTGTGATTGAGCAGCAATGTCCATCCAATTATTTTCACGGTTGTTGTGGTCGTGATAATTTTGTGAGGCCGCATCGAAAAGGCTCAGATGAGCTTGCCAAAGTTCTACAAGTTGTGCCTCCATCGCTTGTGTCCAGATCACACGCTGCACTGCTGTGCTACTCTGTCTTTTTCACCGACATTTATGTGTTTGCACATGTGCAGTGTAAGAAGCTGCGGTGACCTCCTCACGACGGTCGTGACCAAGCAATTGATGATTGGAAGCTGGTCGTGAGGTGTTAATCGCTTCTCATTACCCCACGTATACTACATGATGCACGACACACGATGAAGGCGAAACTCGGGCCGATCACCAAAACGGTCGCACGACTGAAAAATCGTCTCAAAATGAGCCAAAAATCAGTGTAAGCCCAGCATTAGCCCAGATTTACGAGCATTTTAAACAAATATGCACATATGTGGATCTCATTTTTCTCAGAAACAAAAATTATCTAAAAAAAAATAAAAATCTGGTAATTCTTTGTTTTTACATTCATCAGGTGCCAATCACCCCAAATATCAAAGAGAAATTAAAAATGCATGACATGGAAGAGTTTGGGTCTTAGGAGGTTAAAGAACATGCACGGTGAATTTAGAGAAATAGTTTAAAAAAAAAACACTTTGCAAACGTACCTAACATTCTGTTCATGCTTTTTTGAGTATTTTTTTGACAGTTTTCTGAGTGTGGCTAACATTAGAGCCCAACATCAGACTCGTGACCGTGGCTCTAGCTCTGAATTGGATAAAGGTTAAGAATAAGGATCAACTAATGTTAGCAGTGCTTACACCAATAACTTTCTTTCTTTCAAAGCTAGCATTCTTGCACCTGTACAGAAGGTGATCAGATCCCACTGTCCTCTAACACAGCAAACACGTCACGTTTCACCTTGTTTGTTTATAACTTCCCGTCACAGACGGAGGGATGCTGCTGGCTGGTGACGGGTCGCTACGTAGAACCAGCTGAATAATTAATGTTTTTGACTGGACTCGACTTGACTAGCGAGGACGGCAACATCTGGTTGACTAATCGGACACAGGTTCACAATAAAAGCCAATTAAATGCTTTTACTGTGAAACAGGGAAGAGTTAGGCTGATTGCCATTGAAGCTGGGTTGATGTCTTGTGTGGAATTGCAGGACTCCGCTGAAAAATGCAATATACTGAATGCAACTGAAGTGGACTTTTCATGTTTTCATGGATGTATTAGATACATATAAGACATTAGTTTCAAGTAAGGAGGTCAGTGAATGGCAAGTAACCCCTGTGAAGCTGATCTAAACACTCAGTTTCATATTTTTTAACCTTAGCAATTAAAAGCCGATGGGGTATTGTCATGACTCCATCGGGTCGCCAAGAGTTTGAATCTTGGTTACGTTGACCTCCTTCCTGTGAGTACAGGGTACAGAGGGTTAAACTGTCTGGCAGCCAATCAGAAGAAAGTCCACCTACTGTAACAAGAGGAGTTAAAACAGCTTGTTGCAGACTGAGAATGAATTTAGAGTCTGTGTGTAAGATACTGTTTTGAACTGTGAATGCAAAGCTCCTCTAGTAGTGACCAAGGACAAACCGACGGAGCTAGAAATGATCGAAACACAGACTTTCAGTTCTTTCACCACATGCAGGCCTCACTCCCTCGGTGTAACCGAAAGGATAGACAACACAATAAGCAGCGCTCGATAAAGGGAAAAAAACAAACTTTATTTCCATACGCAGCTAGGAGACAGACAGCAGAGTTATTAGATATCCACTTCCACTTCCCCACACTTCCACTACATATGTTTTCAGTGAGATTCATTCTTCCCCTCAGCTGAGACCAAAGCAGAAATATTGATGCTGAGTATGGATTGCAGCATTCTGCTTGTGGTGTGTTTGATGTATTCAACAATATCTGGCAGTTGCCTTATCAAGCACCCTCTCTGCAGCCTTCGATCGATCGCTTCCATCATGCCATCATTAAGTGCTGGATGACATAATTGCCCTTTGTAGTGGATGTGGTGTGCAGGCACACTGTGTGTGGGGACTAAGCATGCCCTAATTTTGAACATACTAATTAAATGGGCTTGTCATCCCATCTCTGATTGTACCGGCCCTTCAAAGGAACATATTCCTCCAGTGGACATGCGGTCCCCCTCCCCGGCTTGGCACCAAACAGTGAAAATCAATGACTCATAATATGTTACTATTCACAGTTTCAGAAAACAGCTCGTTCCATCTGGATTCTTTTTTCCAAGCTTTCACTGGCTGTTCCCAACAATCGCGGACCCGGCATCCTTTTATATGTACAGTAGGCAGCCGGTGAGGGAGCTCACTCTGATCCAGCTGCTCCAGCTCAGCACTGGGCGCACACTCATTAAAATGCACCGCTCCCCAATTATTTCCATCAATGAGGGGATACCTTTGCTGGCTACAACTTCAAAAATAAAAAGTTCAGACAGGGAACCTAAAAGAGAAAAGCTAACAGCGGAAAAAAAAACCCGCAAAGGAATCAGGCTCCTAATCATCATGCACAGTCCATAAATTATAGGCTGCAACAGCAGTGTACAGTAGATGCAAGAAGATCAGGGTTCGTGCGTAAAAGCAACTAAGCTGTGTTCTTTTATGTGTACAAATAGATAGAAATGAAAGTATGGCAACAGGAAAAAAAGATGTAGTGTGAGTATAGTATAGGGAAAAAGTGCAACGACAAACTGAAGCTCATCATCTGTGTTCTTCAATAGAATGGCTATGATGAAAGGACTTTATGCCCCTGTTTCAGTTGATTTTAATCTTTTTATAATCATCCCTATTAACCTTTTAACCTTAACACTCCCTCATAAAGTCTGGGATAAAAGCCGGGAGGAGGGGCATGCTTGAAATTGGAGATGAAGCGGAATATTTGACAAACGAGTGATTTTTTTGCATCAGTATCTGCCTTTTCCCCCCCCCCTTCGTTCTTTGGCACATATTCCAGCAGTGATTATTTCCCATTTTGAGATAGTTTGCAGTAATCATGCCTTCAGCTGTGTCCCAGAAGCTTTTTTACCTTAACTTACCTTATTACCTTAACATCACCGAGTGGCTGACAGCTTTCTTGTGGAGACTTTCCAGTAAAAGTCCTCCTCATCGTCCTTCGTTTCTCTTCTGTTATTAACCTGCCTGCTTGCTCAAGGCTCCAGATAAGAGTAGGAGATTCTACTGCACTAACATTAAGTGAATGGATTGCTTCCAATCCATATTCACATATAGGAGTTGATTAAAAAAAAGACCAGAGGCATTGTCATATTTTTAAAAGGTTATAGCGGGTTTTCAAAATGCATTTTTCCTGGGGGAGAAATGCTTGTGTTGTAACTACTGAGACAGGTGCACTTTGCAGGTACACAAGGCTGAAAACATCAAAACTTTTAAAGTTTGATCCAAATACACTGAATCTGTTTTCCAAGTGACTCTGTTGGCATCAGGATGGTGATAAAATGGCAATAAAACAATCAGTCTGCGATTGAATGGGGTCAGGTTGCCAATTATATGCCTACATCTTTTTCTGATAACACAGCAATTAAGTGATAAATCGCAAATCTGTTGTTGTCTACACACAAAAAATGTACATTAGAAGCATTAACTGCTTACTGTTCGAGCCACAGATTTGAAACAGAAATTCCTCCACAAAGAACAATGTAGTTTCTGCAGGATGCAAAATAACATAATAGACACTTTGCAACTTGCTTTAAGATTGTATTACAACCAGAATATTACCAATTCAGTATGACTCTACTATGAGTTGCGCTCATCAGTGTAGACTGACTTACTATAGATGGATCGCCAGGTGTTGTCAGTCTGTCTGCATTTGTCAATTAAACAGCAACCATTTGCGAAGCTTCACCAATCGACAAGACGCACCACAGTTGTTTGGAGACAGGTCTCAAAATCAAAAGTGGTTGCACAGAAGTTAAGCATGCAACACCCCCAGCTAGTCGCAATAAGTACTCCAACAGCAAAAAAAGTTCAGTGTAATAACAGCCATTGATTTTTTCTCCTACTTGTAAGGAGGTTGCTGTCTGATTTTTACTCTAGTGTGACTGAGCCGTTATATAGACAGCTAAGTCACTGATAACCAGCTCACCCTGGTTTCACATTGCGTGAAGGCTCGGCTGAGGCAGCCTGGTCAGCTGGCAGGAGCCAGTTTCTCTAGGAAGTCTCTTTGCTTGTGGTTGATCAAACTCTATCCCTGCTCTCTGGGACTTAAGATTGTGACATTGGTTCTTACTGTGCACTGGAGATGAACTCTAAGTTGGAAGACCACATAAATCAGAACCTGAATCAGGTGGAAAACTGGTTCATGTGTCACAACAGGATAAAGGATAAAAGTCGCCCGCTGCTTTCGGACTCGTTTTGAATCTTTAACATTGGTCTTTTGGCTGGTATGACTTTTGGTTTTTGGAGTTGGAAGTTACCTTATATGGATGATAAATAGAATGCTAGCCTAATGCTAGCTAGCTTGGTTACCAAACAGCATTCACTTTCATAAACTGTACAGGTGCAGTGCCCGGGCACATATATTGTGTAGATATTGCCATGTAAATAAAATACGATTTCAATCAGCAAACTTGAAGCACAGATTCCTGGGATGTGTGGAACCATAGGACAACACACCTGTTAGTCTGTGTAGCCATGCTATGGCCATGGATGAGTTAAAGAAAAAATCAACCCACTTGTTATGAAGGAGCAAATCTTTCGTAACAGGAAATGAACGTCCTTTTAAGATGGTTGTGATTGAGCTAACCAACAAGGACAAGGATGTGTATTCAGGAAGGCGGAATTGGACTATCTGTCCTCCCACTGGAGACCCAGTCGTTTATTTGTCTGTTATTTATAGTATGTCGTATTTAATTTAAGAATGTAGGGGTGAAGTACGACCACTACGACCATAAATAAAATCAAATCCTTAGGGAAACTTCCAAGTCTCTCAAGAATATCCAGCATCCCTGTCTTTGAAACTTGTAAAATGGCTTTTAAAGAGTTCACACAGCATAATAACATTAATGTTGCCACATTAGTCTAGAAGATCATACTATATGATACTATATTAAAACTAACCCTAACCCTAATCTTAAAGCTATACATTAGAAACGTAGATGTTTCTCTGCATTTTAATTCTTTTTCACCAAACTCCTACCATTCACTATCACTGTGATAATCTGGTATGTTGATCTGAGAAACAGCATCAAAATGAACAGATGTCACCCAGCAAAGATCTGTGCACAGCTGTGATTGATTGTTTCATAGAGCCGCGCTGTGCCGAGCATCAGGAAATCAAACTGAAAAGCAAATGTAAGAAGTTGATAATAAAAAAAATTAAAAAACTTTGTTCTTGTTTGTGTTATAAGGCAGGCTGTAATCAGATTTCCAGTCTTAAAACATGAATCCTGTCATTAGCCAGACCGTGTTGTTGTCATGTTTGTTTTCCACTGAAATGCCACATCAGTCATATTATGCAGCAGCGCTTAGGCAGACGTCCACGAGAGCACGGCTGTGATGTGTGCAGCAGCCCGTGTTTGTCCATCAACAATCTTGTTAGTGTCCTTGAATGTGACACTAAGACCCTTTACATGCCCTCATTAGATACTCTGGAAAAGCTGTTTTTTACTCATTAAGCTGGCAGTCGCACCTAAAATAAAATGTGACAAATTACAGGACCTGTTCATGCACACAAATGTAAAGCAAATATTAGCACTTTAAGCTGTAATTAGTGGAATTGGTGCTTCTTCTTCTTCTTCTTCTTCATGCCTCTTCTGTCTCTGTTTTGCAGCCTTTGGACTATGAAAGGAAGCGGCAGTACAGTCTGCGTGTCCAGGTGGAAAACGTCCACATCAACCCCCGCTTCTACTCGAAGGGCCCCTTTAGGGACGAGGCCACCATCAAGATCATCGTTGAGGACGTGGATGAGCCGCCCGTGTTTGAGCGCGCCAGCTACGTAATGGAGGTGAAAGAAGACGCGCCCAAGAACACCGCCATCGGCTCCGTCAGCGCGTCTGATCCGGATGACAAAAACAGCCTCGTCAGGTAAATGAACCAAGCTGCATCTCTTCTTTTTATTTCACAGCTTAGCTCTTTTTCAAAATTTGCTGCTGTGTGATCTTTCCGAACGCACTTCAAGGCAGCTATTGATTTCTATTCAAAAGCCAATGAAAAGGCTGAGCATGATAGCTCATTCAAGCACCACTTAATTGCTTTTGCTGGAGGTTTCAGTAACATCTGAGCAAGTTGAGGACCACTCATCAGTCTTAGTTAACAGTACAACTACTGGGAGTTGGAGAACTGACAAAATTAGCTTTTAATATTCGGTTTGGGGATTGTGTTGGCTTTACAAGTCATTTAGATGATTTAATTACAGATTGTAAAGGCAAAACATACTTTAAAATATACAACTAAACAAAAGGTACAATAACTAACCCACCTAAATAATTTAATTAATAAACAAGAAGAACATTAGGGAAAAGTTAAAAACAATTTTTGGATAACCAGCAAGCCACCCAGCTCTCCCTAGCTCTCGATCGAGCAGATGTCATATCCAAATGTGTGTAAACATTATGTGTTTCTAATATTTTATATGGGTTTGTATGTCATTTTAGGAGATGTGATCAAAGTCTTTTATTTCAGCAATGCTAAATGATTGAAAATGTGTCAAAAAGCTTTTCCTGAGCCAAGTTTCTTCCTGTTACAAGGGAGTTTTTCCTCCCCACTTTAACTGATTCTTGGGGTTTTTGCCTGAATACTTTGCCTGAGTCTTTACCTTACAGTGTGAAGCACCTTGAGGAGAACTATTGTGATTTGGTGTTGTATAAATAAACCTGAAGTGAAATTAATAAGTTAATAAATGAAGTGCATAAAATTTAATTTCTGTTTGTGCAAACATGAGTCAAAGTTAATGTATCCAGAAAACTGAAACTACAGCATGCGTGGGCTCTAAATGAGCATAACTGCTGCTGAAATAAATAAAAATTTGGATTCTGTTTTATCTCATATACAATGACTAAATGTTAGCAAAACAAGAAAAAAGAAGTCTTATGCCCTTAGATTGGATTTTCAGGTCCCAATTATCTTTAAGACTGTTTGAAAAATCAATAAACACAACTCATTTAACAAAGTTGTATACCCCAGTGGTTAGATCACAGCTTCAGTTTGTGGTTTGAATAAACATACATTTACTGTGATATTGACCTGTTCTCGCCCACTTACATTATAAACCATCAGTCACTGTCAATATCCAGTGTAAAATCCACTATAAAAATCTGACTACAGAGGCTCACATGCTTTGATAACATAGTCTAAACTCAAGGCTGAGCTTTTCGCTCTTTAAGCAGCTTCACACAATAAGGAAACAAGACAAAACTCAAGTAAAAACCACCGTGTGAACCTTGAGTTAAGCATATAATATCTCACTAACCGATTTCTATACAGAGTCAATATTTGGAGCTCCCATTAAGTGAATTATTCATCTTTAATGCGAGATGTTGTTTAATGTTCTGAAGGTTGTAAATGGATCTTGGTGCTCTTGTTTTCTTCACCATTAACATAAACAGCGCTAAAATAATGAGGCCTGTGCAGGGAGACACTTTGTTCTGCTACACATACAAAATGCAGCGAAATAATGAAAAGTGCCAAAAGTTCGCTTACACAACTTAGCTCATGGAGATACAAAATTATGCGAGCGTTGTATTAAATGGGAATAATGGCAGTGGGGTGTGAGGCTGCGCCTCGACTCCGCTTCAGACTTTTTCATTTTTATGATGTACTAAGGGAGTTGGCTCTCAAGGTTGAAGTTCCACCACTTTATTGCAGGTGTCAAATATGATATCATTCTCTTTTATCGCCCATCATCAAGGAGGTAGCTACCCTGTGGCATTTAAAGCCGTGCAGAGGGGGAGGAGGAGGAGGGAGGAGGGTTGGGAAGCCCGGGGGCTGCCTGGCATGAGGAAGTCACTGCGACGGTTATCTTTATTAGCTCGTTGCGACTTGCGGACACGTGCACGTGTGTGGCAGGGATGCATACGCAAGTCCTTAAGTAAGCCATAAGTGCAGTATATAGACTCATGCAGACACATGCATGTTTCATCCTACATTTTTCCTTCTGATTGAAGATTTCAGGTCAGCTTTTTACATGAGATTTGATTTACTGCAGTCTGCAGCTTACATGCTTTTAAACGGAACACTTTGGCCTGAACAAATACGAATAAGATGTGATGAACATGTCATGCATTTCCCTCACTGAATGCCTCTTTGGCAAGCGTGTCACTGGCTCTGTGAATGTGGAGAGGTATCGTGTTTTCAGTGCTGTACTGTCCGTGTTAAGAGCTTTTATTAAAAACCAGATTCTCTACAGAAGGAGAGTTGCTTGGATGCTGACATTTCTGGAGCAGTGTACTTACATATACACTCATCAGCCATTTTTGGGGGGTATACTTGACTACTCATCTGGCAGAAACTCATTTAGGCATATAGACATGGTCAAGATGACCTGCTGAGCACCAGAATGGAGAAGAAAGTGACTTTGAATGTGGCATGCCAGACAGGCTGGTCTGAATGTGTCAGAAAATGCTGATCTGCTGAGATTTTCCTACTCGAGCATCTCTAGGGTTTAGAGAATGGTCCAAAAAAGAGAATATATCCAGTGAGCAGCAGTCCACTGGGAGAAAATGGATTGTTGATACCAGAAGTCAGAGGATCAGGTCAAACTGCTTCGAGTTTATAGGAAAGTGAAAATAATCACCATTATAACCAAAGATAGCAAAACATTTCTGAATGCAAAACACATTGAACCTGGTAGCAGGTGTGCTGCAGCAGCAGAAGACAACACTGCTAAGAACAGGAAACTGAGGCTACAGTTTGCAGGGGCTCACTAAAATTGGGCCATAGGAAATTTTAATATTGATTTCTTGAGTCTTGATTTCTACTGCAACATTTCTATAGGGTCAGAATTTAGCGTAAACAACATGATTGTGTGGATCCATGCTTGTGGGAGATATTTTCTTGCACCTCTTAGAACCAGCTGAGCATTGTTTAACCTGTTAGCAGTCGGACGTACCGCCCACGGTACATTGGATGGTTTAGGGGACTAATTGGACTGCTAAGGGGTTAAACAGTGCAGCCTACCTGAGTATTGTTGAGTTCACTGTACTCAAGTGGGCTCAACAGTCACCAAAGCTCAACAAGCCAGTCCAATAGAGCATCTTTGGGATCTAATGGAACGGATAGAAAACATGGATGTCCAGCCGAGAAATCTGCAGCATGATATGAGGCTGTCATGTCAATATGACCAAAATTCCTAAGGAATATTTTCAGAATTAAGGCAGCTCTGAAGGCAAAAGGCAATCCAACTTAGTACTAACAAGGTGTATAATAGTAAAATGGCCAGTGAGTGTATGTTAAGATAGATGACGTGCAATAAAGATAATAGAGATGGGCTCATGAAAATGTTTATTTCACTCCTCTGAAGCCAGCGTGTTTAATCTGATGTGGGTGTTTATATGGAGCATTTCTATTCTGCTTTATTATTGAAGAACTGCTGTAGAGCCAGTATGTATGTAGCTGGTGGCTGTCCATCCCACTGTGATGGGATCTCTTTAGTGATGTTCAGACCTTTAAAGCACGAACAATATTCAAGGTTATTAGAGAACATTTCATTTAACCGGGGTTCAGATTTGCCATAGTGGAGCTTTCGAACACTTTTTTATTAGCCGTCTATATTGGCCAGCTTGGATGAGAAGCCCTCAAAGACCATCGAGTGCTGTGAAAAGTGGCTATTTGAACATCTAAATGTGAATGTGAACCCTGATGTTCATCTGGGCTAAATATGGTTAAAGAGTGAGTCATTTTTTTAGTCTTTTAGGTGCCATATAACAGCATTTCACTTACTATTTTTCATAGTGTCGTTAGCACTGCTTTGCATGGACATGTAGCCGAGCTGGTGCTCGATACTAAGGATAGCTAACCTCTCCAAAATATAACAACTGAAATGATTTCGAAACAAAGATCATTTTGATACAGATTTTTTGACCTCGTGTTGAAGAAAACATTCTCAAAATACTGTGTCAAGTTGGTTGGTCTCTTCAGAAGGGAGGAAAGAAGCAATAATGTCGGTCCCAACCCCCTGATCACTAACATTTCTGTAACCCTCCTCGTCCTTCTGCCTGGCCTTCCAACCAGCCAGCTGTGTGCCTGCTGAGAGCAGCACTTTGGTTGTCCGGTCAGGACGAGGAGCGCCGTTATCTCTGCGCCATTAATCAAGGGAAGGGTTAGACCCAGGCAGCTGAATTATTGGGAATATTAGAAAAGCAATTAGTAAAGCCCACGGCTGACGCACATCTAACAAGGTTAGAGTTACTGTCGGGCCTGCGAGGTGGTAGAAAAATAGGTGGGAGTGTTTAGATAAAGACACCAAAATGTTTGTGCGGAGGAAGCAGCAGCAGCAGCAGCAGCAGCAGCAGGGAGGGGCTGAGGAGGTAGGGGTGACACCCATGGGGAGGGGGAAGATCGGTGGAGGGAGGAGAGGGATGCGGCGATGCATTGAGAGCCGCGGTTCATAGTCTCCCCTCGGGGGTCTCCTTCCTCTTACGCCGGCCCTCCTGATGCCTGCTACTCCATTAATCACACTGATGCATCACAGAGTAGTCTGGGAGGCAGAGAAAAACAACACAACTGGATAACCTGTTGGCTCTAATGTGTGTATCAACACAGGGCAGACTATTCAAGACTGCTAGTGCCAGACAAGACAGTTTATTATTATATGTCACAGGTTCAGTTCCCCCCAAATAACCAAAAATAGATCATTTTATTAAACTCCTGCTGGATGTATCTGGTCCAGCAGATGGGTTTACTTTTACAGTATGTGCTCAGGTTTTTCTCAGGCTCCACGTCTCCCACTGATTTCTCTGTGAATACAGCTCAATTACACCCGCTGCTTGCTCCTCTGTGGTGTTTTAGTTGCAGCAGATGTTTCAAGGTGTAGTCAGACAGCTCTAGGCCTAATAACAATAAAAACATACCCGATGTAAACGTGGGCCACCTTGCCTTCAAGTTTCCTTTTTGTGCACGTCTGGGCTGCTCCTAGTGCGACTACCATTTGTAGGTCACTCCCTTTGTGACTTCTTGCACGTGCATGTTTGTGATACCAGTCAGCAAACGTGTGCCAAACTGATCCAACAAAGATGGTTCATCTCACCAGGAGAATGACCGGCAGCTTTTTGTTGCCTCTGACATTTACAGGCTTTTAATAGTGATTAACATTTTGTACAGAAATACTATTGGATACTCACTGAGAACTAGACACATTCATTGTCTGAAGATCACCTGCCAGTGCAAATCGTTTGTTGTAGTTTATTTTTTTCAGCATTTTCAGAAAGAGTCTTTTTGGATGGCTGCTTGCTACTCCTTTACTTTACTGGCCCCATTACCTGATAGTTGCCCACTACCATTTTCTGCAGGAAGTAGCTTATTTTACATTGGTGCTGTCAGCGTTAATCTCGGTAAAATGATGTCAACTCCATAACCGCATTAACGCTGCAAATCTCTGTTAGCGAGTTAGCGTGGGTCGCCCCTTGCGTGGGGCTGCATGGCGTCAACACGTTAGCGCGATTAGCTAGCGCCGTGCAGCCCCACGCACGGGGTGATCCACGCTAACAGAGATTTGCCGTCTACACAGCATCCCCCCTCCCCTTAAAAAAGTAAAAAAAATAAAAATAGACTCTAAAATTTTCATGGACCGCCTTTAGCTTTGATGATGGCACCGTTCACCGTGGCATTGTTTCAATAAGCTTATCCAATGTCACAACATTTATTTCCAGTCAGATTTCTAATAATTTTTGGCCAAGATCTCCCCGCGTACTGTGGCACATTCCAAAGATTGTGCTGGAAATGACTGCACTGCTCTTTCACAGTTTGAACCCAGTGATTCCTGGCATTGTAATCTGGGAATGTCCCGGTGCCATCGGGAAAGAAAAAAAACATCTGATAGCATTCAGTACATTCAGCTGACTTCAATGGAAAGCTATTACTTACACCGTCACCAACTGGTGAATCTTTTTTAGCCGGGCGGTGTATATTTTATGGCAAAAACAGACATGCTGTATTTTTTCTTTTTAATGACTTAAGTGCTATTAAAATATTCAAGAGTCATGACCATCCCTCGTTTTTATGCCACGGATTTGTTCTCCAGGGTCAGACTAACTATGCTACTCTGGCCCCGGTGTGTCTGTAGAAGAAGAATCTAAATGTAGCTTATGCTGTGCTACTGTGTGCGCCCATTTTCTTTGGCCTCACCAACACAGTCTTTACTTGGCATTTCCCAGATTTGGATCACTACAACTTTATCCTCTTCCACAAAAAGAAAATTAAAGTAAAAGACTCACTGTCCTGATACAGTGGAGGACATTTAGCCTAATTTGCAGATGGTGAAGTCTTTCAGGAAGTGATTTTAAAAGTAGATGCAGTCCTGGAAGTGATCCAGAGAGCAGCCAAAATTAAATCAGTACGAGTCTTGCTTTTTGATGCTTTTTTCAGATACCATACAAATGAATAGAGAAAAGCTTTGTAAATTCAAATTAACTCATATTTTTCTTATTTGTGCATATAAAAAAATATATATATATATAAAGATAATTGTGTTCCTTTCAGCAAAGTAGACTTTTCTTCTTCACTGTGTCCACCACACAGAATGTCAATTCGACCAAGACACACCTGAGACGCTCTGTCAATGTGACTGTACCCTGTGTCTGTCGCCCTGGGAAAACAACACATTTCCACTCAGCATGAGTGCACAAGTTTACACGCCAATCGTTGTCTGTGTGTTTTGTGCAGGTACACTATTGATCGGCGCACAGACATGGACAGAGTGTTCAACATCCATGCAGGCAACGGGTCAGTGTTCATCCTCAGGGAGCTGGACAGAGAGGAAAACGCTTGGCACAACATCACCGTCATCGCCACCGAGTTCAGTAAGTGCAGCAGCCGGACCAGAAAGAGACATTTCGGTTCACGTACTTCCTCCAATTCTGTCAGCCAAATTGGATTTTTGGGACCCAAGTATTGGCTGGTAGCTGCTGTTTGTTTCCCCAGCCCATAGTTTACATTCTCTAAAAATAGCATGGGTGCCCATTTATCTGTTTTCCCACTAATTTAAAATATAAAAATCAGCAAGCGTCTTTGTTTTCTAATCTGCTGCTGTTAATTCAATGCTGCCGCAAACTGCTATTTCCCTTCATCTTTGCCAGTTGTCTTAAAAAAATAAGATCCTAATAATTTCCACATCCAAAGACCTTATTTTACCTATTATTACTTTATTTTGTCAGTGAAAACTAGAACTTGGTGCAGAGTCTGCGCATAAATATAACTGTGGAAACAAAGAAATCAGCAAAACTTGGAGCATCTGATTTGTGTTTTTAACCAGCTATTATTTATTTATATGCACAATACTGTAATGAGTTTGCTTGGAAACTAAAGCAGAGCCGCTGTTAATGAAATTTAATAATTACTCATGTAAATTCACTGTGTCCACCTTTGTGTTTCCCAGCCAACCCGCGACAGATCAGCCGGGTACCTGTATACGTCAGAGTCCTGGACGTCAACGACAACGCTCCAACATTCGCCACCAATTATGAGACGTTTGTGTGTGAGACCGCTAAGGCTAATCAGGTTGGTTATTACCCAACATAAAGCCGTAGTCATGGTTTCATCTCGACTTCCCAGTTTAGGATTATGCACCCGCTCCCAGCACAGCATGTAATTAGCGGGCCTCAGAGAGAATTTATAAATCTGTCACGTGTGTTTTAAGCTACTAGATAGTGGGACCGCTTCTGGGGACCAGACTTTCACATCTCAGGTTGATAAAGAGAAGTTTTCTTCCTCAAAATAGATTAAAGAAGTCGAGAACAGATCCACAGTGAAAAGAGATGTCTAGAGGTTCTGAAAAGATAGAGCTGCATTGTAGACCTTTTAATGTAAGACTCCCACAGCTGGGTTGGGATTTGCAGCTCTTCTTGGGTTGAAAAACCCAAGTCTGTGATACCTCAGAGATAAATGTGGATAGTGAGTCTTCAGTTTTAGGATCACTAGTAAAGTCCGAATAACGCCGTTTTACTAACAAAACGTGGTCCAAGCTGCAGTTTGCAAGACTTCTTTGTAGTCTTTACAGATAAAAAGTCTATTCACAGCGTTAGACTTGGGCCAATACTCCTCTGGCCCTGGAGTATTGTGCGATTTGTCCTTCTACATCAGGGCTCCTCAATGTCAAATTAGAGCCAGCATATGAAAAAAACAACTGATTTTCTAATGTGTGTAATCAGAGGATGTCAGTTTTGGGGTTTTTTGTGTGCTTCATAGTTTCTTTTAAGCACGAGTGATGTGGCTGTTACATTTCTTGTCGCAGCACGTCTCCTAGTGCCAGTCCTAAACCCAGATAAACGGCGAGGGTTGCATCAGGAGGAGAATCTGGTGTAAAATCTTTGCCAAATCAAATGTGGATCATCAATAAGATTTTCACATGATTGGCCGACACCTGGCTTAACGACGACTGCCACCGGTGCTGTTGACCAGCAGGGTGCCCGGGGAAACTGTGCTGCTGTCTATGCTAAGGACAGAGTGAGATGGAGGTAGATGAGTCGCCTTGACAACCCCTAAAGGGAGCAGCCGAAAGAATACGAAGAAGCCTAGAAGCTTCTGTCTGGCTACAGCTGACTGTGTTGAGACACCTGCCAATCAAAGGAGCCGTCACCCCCCCGTACAGTTGTTATGGGGTTTGCAGGTGTTCATTTATGCACAACTCTCCAAAGGTCTGGCCACAGCATTGCAATCAGGGTTTTGGGTCATTGCAGCAACTTGATTCTTGTTTTTACTTTGCTTTGTTTTTTCCATCTGTTCTGTTGTGGATTTCCTGTGATCATGGTCCTGTTAATCAGCACTTGGCTGCTGCTTGCCCCCTTAGTTCTCTGTACTTATATATATTTTTTAAGATAAGCTATCTTCATGAGTGTAGAGCCACTCTTCCTTGTGCATAGTAATTATATTTTCAGGTGTCGTTCACTAGAAAGAACCCAGTTATTACTTAGGATAGGACAAGGCAGGGATCCTCACAATTCATCTCTCCAAAACTGAGCAATTTACAGTAAAATGATCTACTTGAATACAAACCACTAAGCCAGAGGATAAACACCTATTTTTGAATTTGAGGTGAACTGTCCCATTAAGTAAATACAGCATCACTATATTAAACTCATACTGTGTTTCAAGGGGAACAAAATGATCCTTTATGCAGAATCAGCCTGGTGCCTTCATGTTGCATCAGATACAGATGAGGCCGCTTTAAACTACTTTGTATCCTGCTAGGTAGCTTAATTCAATGTGACACTTTGCTGATGATATCCTTGCACACGTTTACCATCTGAAAACCTCTTGAGGTTTATTCCTTGTTTGCGCGCCTTTAACTATTTGTCTTTACGAATTCCCAGGAGAACAAACCATCCCTTTAATCTTAATAAACAGCTCGGTTATTCATCACAGCAGCCGATGTTAACATGCAACTACCAGATGCTAACGAGCATGAAGTGGAGTTATCTTTAATTAGACGCATTACAGCTAGAGAGACAGCATCACAAAAGCATGTATGAATTAGATTTGTTGGTTGTTTTATTCTTTGTTTGAAATTTAACAGCTGTGTTCTTGCTCAGCTTCCACTTCCTCTTCATAGCTCTGCTAACCCATTAGCTAGCTAAAACACTAGCACCCGCACAAACAGCAGTTTAGCTGTGGTTAAATGTTCACGGCTGGGGTTGGGTTGCCCTGTCACTCACCTGTGTGCTTCTCACTTCAGGTGATACAAACCGTGGGTGCCACAGATCCTGATGCCCCGCTCGGAGGACACCGGTTCTTCTTCAATCTTGCTCAGGAAGCTGCTGGAAAGGCAAACTTCTCTGTCCACGACAACAAAAGTAAGACACTGCGTGTGCCCTACATTCATTACCTGTTGTTAATGTGCTGTATGTGTCATTGATTGGTTGACGTTTTACAGTAAATAACCAGATTTTCCCTCATCAGACAACACAGCGTCAATCCTCACAAGGAGAAACAGCTACAGCACCCTGCAAAAGAGCGTCCACCATGTGCCGGTGGTCATTTCTGATGGAGAGTTCCCAATGCAAAGCAGCACCAACACGCTGACCATCAGAGTCTGCACCTGCGACCGCAAGGGCAACATGAAGGCGTGCAACGCAGAGGCGCTCACAGCGAGGGCGGGGCTCAGCACCGGCGCCCTGGTGGCCATTTTGCTTTGTGTCATCATCCTGCTCAGTGAGTACAGCCTTACGTTCTTTCTTGCATAAATCTTTTTGGGGCTTTTCACTACAGAGCTTCTCCAGCAAAGCAATCCATAGGAGGTGTTAAACAGTCGGTTTCGTATTTCACTGCTTAATTTGATTCATCACTTCCTGTGGGCGGATAATTCTGCCAGTGACCGCAGCTGTCACCTTAATTTGATTTTAACCGCGAAGCAGCGAAGATCTACAGCATCTCGACTGACTTGAACAGGATGCTTTTCTTCATTGCATTAGGATGGTGAGATAGGAGCGTTTTTATTTAAAACTACAGCCTGGTGAAGGTTTCAAAAGCCAAGTAATTATTGCTGCCATACCTTGAAGCACCTTTACTTCTCAGTCTTAACTCAATCTTAACTCAGTAAGTATAAAAACCTCAGCTATAGTATTAATGCCTCTCATACAATATCGCGGGTTTACTGGAAATTCATCTTTTACTGGGCATTAATATTGAGTTTCATAAAATAATATGACTTAAAGTAAAAAAAGAAAAACTTGGATCCTTTCTTAGGGGTTTCGGCGTGCTTTGAAAAACATGAAAACATACATTTAAGAAAAAATACATTTCAGTTTTCACAGTGAACAGAGTTAGTATTAACATCTGAGTCAGGACACGTCAGCATAAAAAGTGTGTGGATGCTGTCATTAGATTTGTACAGATAATACAATGTAGCTGTTCGTGTACGACTACCAAACTGTCCACCGTCAAGGGCCTGTTGTCTAAGAAAGAGCTGATGATGTAGCAGCAGCAGACCTTGGGGCCATAGTGTTTCAGACAACAGGATATTTGTACTTTCCCCATAGCCCAAACAAGTCATGGTACAACAGATGGCTGTGGCCTCTGAGAGCTTGGTTCTACAACCTGGTCACTTCCTGTTGAAGGGAGTTCATCCTCCCCACCTTTGCCAAAATCTTTTCATTGTCCGACTCTTGGGGTTTTCTTTCTAATATTGTAATGTTTACCTTGAGGCTATTTTTGTGAATTGGAACCTGGAGTATCTTTCATCTTGCAACATCTAGCAGATCGCCTCTATGTCTTTATTTGCAAAGGCAAAGAATTCCTGTTCATTTTAATCCAAAGAATTTAAGTTCCAACACATAAAGGACAGTTTTATTACTTGACCAACATGTTTCGACCTGTTTGTAACTTTCTGGATGACCCGGATGAAAGCCTGCAGATAGTGAAAGCAAGATGAAAAAGACAGGATATATTGAAGGTCTTGCTGTTCGCATTGCTTTGCTGTTTTTGTGCACAGCTAGAACTTTATTGTAGTCTGATATAGTCATACACAGTATAAAAGATGGATGTAGCTTCCAGGTCCAAAAAGCAAAGCCATCATGCTTTAAACATGCCTTCTTTTTAAATGGCCACCAACGTGTTTTACCTGTGGTTGCAAAAAAACCCCTTTCCAGTCCTAGTGAAGTCTATTACAATTGTCCCACTGCCTCAAACTCAGTGAACACTTCACTGATGAGTTTATGAGCTAGTTACTCATTTCAGGTTGCACGAATACAACATTGACAAATTTTTTTTAAACTTTGGTCATTCCATGTTTCAAAAAGGAGGATTTTACAGGGTATGGGCTTGTCTGTCACAAGTTGTTAGCCAATAAGGGTGCAGCTTCACAGTCTGATCCTTGCTGATGATATCCAATTTTAAAACAACAAGAAAGCGATAGTGAAAACGCTCATTTGCAGTTTCAAAAGAAGATCGTCACAAAAATATAGGGGTTGTCACAGTAGCTATCTTTTATAAGACCTTATGGTTAGAGCGTATGTCACCAGGAACGTAAGACAAATCCAAGGAAAACATAAAAGATATAAAAATATCATAATGAATGATAAAAAATGACAAGGAGACTGTCTCAACTTGCTGAAATTTGAACTTCTTTCAAAAATAACGCTTAAACAACCCTGAGTTGTTTAACACCAATTGAATACTTAATAAAAGTAACCCTCACACCATCCCTTGAATGTCATAATGCTTCTTAATGGTACAGAGGTTGCATTTTTAGCGCGTAATGTATTCTGCTATGTTCTTAAAGGGGGTTCCTTTATGTTCTTAAGCAGCAGCGGCCCTGAGGAGCGAGAGATGCATAATGCATCCTTGTGGTAGCAGTGCCTGCTTTACAAAGTCAGACAAAGTCCCTGAACATCAGTGCACACTCACACAACATCAACAATTCCCCCAGGACAGTCACTGGCCTTCAGAACAAGGAGAGAGAGCACAGAAGCAACAGCAAAAGTCACCAAACTCTCATATTTGTTCTCTTTGTTTTTGTTCTCCACACAGTGATCGTGGTGCTGTTTGCTGCCCTGAGGAGGCAGAGGAAGAAGGAGCCTCTGATCATCTCCAAAGAGGATGTCAGGGACAACGTCGTCAGCTACAATGACGAAGGGGGCGGAGAGGAGGACACCCAGGCCTTTGATATCGGCACACTGCGCAACCCGGAGGCCATCGAGGAGAGCAAACAGAGGAGAGACATCGTCCCCGAGGCCTTCTACCCTCCGATCCGACGGCCTGTGCTGCCCCCAACTCGGGACAATAACGGGGACGTGAGAGACTTCATCAACCAGAGGCTCCAGGACAACGACAGCGACCCGACGGCGCCGCCTTACGATTCCCTGGCCACCTACGCCTACGAGGGGAACGGCTCTGTAGCGGAGTCCCTCAGCTCGCTCGAGTCAGTGACCACTGAGAGTGACCAGGACTACAACTACCTGAGCGAGTGGGGACCCCGGTTTAAGAAACTAGCGGACCTGTACGGGGGCGACGACAGCGACAGGGATTCCTAACGAGAACCTGGCACACAGACAAGGAGAAAAAACAAAAATCCCAAACACATGTTGAAAACATCCGGAGGGTTCTGGTGCACGTGTGGCGAGTGAAATGTCGAAAGGACGGAGAAACGAGCGCCGTCTGTCCGAGTGCTCTTTCACCGCCTTCGATCACCGTTCAGTTGTCCCCTCCGGTGACCAGACGTAGGCTTTGTGTGTCCAGTCAGTGTTAGTTGCGTTTTTGCGAGGGCACAGTTAAAACAGACTTTGTGTCAAGACTTTTTGGTTTTTGTGTGTGTATATGGGGTGTACATGAGGCCCAAATATATCTATACCGATATTTTTTTGTTTCTTTGTTTCTTTTTTCTCCAAAGCTGCCTGTGACGGACACTTCAACAAGCAGTTTTGTAAACCAACAGATATGCCTATGTATTTTTCAGTGTTTCTGGGACAAAAACATGCTGCATATTGTGAGTTCTATCTTAGCTTGTGTATGTACGGTAATATGATACAATACGCTGTACAGTTGTTTTGTTTTTCTAGGGATTTCTATCTTCCAAACAATCCCCTCTTTCAGCAATGGCTGCCTCACTATAAACACTTAGCCACAGTTTGAGTTTGAGCCACAAGAAAATGAAAAATATGGTTCCACACAAGGTGGGGGAGATATAGAACATCAAATTTTGAGTTAGTTGTGGCAGGTGTTGAAAAGTGGTGGTTGTTCTTTAATGGTTATATAAAGCGGTGGTAAAGGACTGCTACTACAAACACCTGCAAACACACTGGTTTATCATTTTTACAGTATTTGATTTTCATCACCACACGGCTTAAAGCATTTGCTGTGAGGTGGGCTGAAATACCAAATATTTCCTTATTGAGCTGAATGTTGTCAGCAGTCTTTTTTTTCCTCTGTGCAGGGTGAAATATGAAGTGCACAGAATAGTGTTATTTTCTATGCTGCAATGAAAATCCACAAGTCTAACATGTATCGGGCTCAGTTAGGGGGAAAATACTGGTCTTGTTGGACCTTTTTGCTCACTTCACTTCAGAAACACAGAGTTGGAAGATGCTGAGAGGATGCCACCGAGCCTGAAATTACAGCATTAAATTAGATTAGGTTAAACATCTTGTGGACAGTTACCATTAAAATTCATTATGCAATTTTATTTTCTTCCCTTAAATGGCTCATTTTATCTGTTCAAGAGAGAGTGAAAGGAAAGGTAGCACTTGAATCAATGTAAGCAGCAAAAACAATAGGGACATATTGACTGGAGCCTAAAGAAATGTCTGCATTAATGTGAAGCTTTACATCTTCATGCAAAGCGTCATAGCTCATGAAACGAATCAAGAAAGTTGCCTTAAATTTAAAGAAAAAGAGCAAAAAAAAAAAACCCCGCAAAATAAACACAGACACACAAAAAGAAAACAGCAAAATGCTTCCACAGACTTCATTCTCTTCTCACTAAGGAAAAATAAAAGGCTCAATCAGTGGTTTTCATCCTTTTTCATTTGACATATCCCCAGTCTGTCTTTTTGCTAACTGTTGTTAGCTAATAATTTAACTGTTAACTGTACTTAAGCGAAAAATGCATTATATTAATACCTAATGTCAGCCAACTATCCTTTAAGCTAACAACTTTCTTTGTACCGTTAGCTAACACTTGATGGTTTTCCAGTCTTTCACCTTGCTACTATGTTAATTCATAGTGCTAGCTGACAACATGGCTACTAACTACACTTCAACCAAAAAAGCCCACTGTGCTTTGTCCATAGTTTCAACTAGCTACTGTTTTCTGTATTGCTATTATGTTGTGCTATCAGTTGTTTTGTACTGTTAACAGAACAAACAAAAAAAAATTCAGCACTGCTGTATTTATAATTTTAGCTAGCTGTTCATCCATTCTGTTTAGCTAATAGCATTTTTTGCTCTATTAACAAACAGTTGCTAGCTCTACTCTTTACTGAGACTTTTAGTAACTATTTAAATGTCACTTTTGAGTTTAGCCAGAAAATAACTTTTTCCCGTTAAGTGTTGCTAACAATTGTAAAGAGGTGATGGCAGTCAGGACAAAACACTTTATCGATAAGTAGGCTTTACTTTACTACACACACAAAACACAAGCAACCAATATATTCAAAAATGTTATTATACAACACTGTATTAACAAAAACAATTAAATTTGATAATTTTTGTAGTGATCTTTCCCCCTATTTTTATTTATTATAATTCTTTTTTTCTCCAAATCAAATGTTTTTATGTTCATGGTACACTTTACTGGCTGACTGGCTAGGTTCAAGGCTTAAAACTTTTTATCGTGTATTAATTTTATGAAAGATCATTGAAGAAGATGAATGGGAAATATACGTCCAGAGCCCTTAAAAAAAATAGGGCGGTCACTCTTTTGCAAAAGAGTGATAAATGTGTCACACTACCTACCTTAAACACTATTTAGCTAAGATTTTGTGTCCTGAGAAGGGCTCCGTCCTGCACTGTAGAATGTATAATAATGTAACATAGCAGTACAGTAATAGAAATGTGCCAAAAAGCAAAGAACACCAGTATTTTCCTTTAAAAAAACCCTTCCATTATTTTAGTCTCTTCCTTTGCCCTTCATTACGTGTACTGTATGTAGTGCTGAACATGAAGCTGGTTCAAATGTTCAGGCTTTACCCAACTGATTTCCTGTGGGACTAACAGCCCTTTCCATAAACATGCTTATCAAGGGGCACCTGACCTTTGAGTGGTGTGGAATTAGGTTCTTAAGCCCAGAGGTGTGTCCTCGGCTCAGAGAGAAGGTCAAAACATTATCCTGCAGCAAGATCACAAAGGTTTAATTTTTCAAAAGTAGGAGGAAACTTGTGAAAATGATCTCTACCACAGCAAAATTGGGAAATTACTTTAAGAGCTGCCTAACTACAAACACACAGCTGTGAAACAAAGAAAAATGTCTAAACCAGGAGGGCACAATGATATCAACAGGAAAAAAAAAGGCCAGCTAAAACAAGCTCTGCCCTCACTTTAGCAAAAGGCCAACCAGTGAAGAGGCTGACATTTATCAGACATTTGAAACAGTAATAACAAAACACAATGGCATAATTGCCATAGTGCTACTTTTTCCCCCTCTATCACGAGCCAGCTGATTGCACAGTGGTTGGAAAATTCTTTATATCATATACACGAGTTCTCTTTTCTATTTCTTGGCTGCCTTGTTTTGTTTATTAGCTTGTTGCTGGAGCTCCTGTTGTGTAAGTGGCCATTTCAGACTGTGTTGCTATGATAAGCATTTAATGGGTTTAAAGACCCTTCACTATAAGAAAACTGCTTTTCCACCTCAAGGTGCAATGCGAGGTCTCAAATGAAAGTCAACATGACAGCAGCACTCACCAAAACCATTTTTTCCCCTTCAGTCGTCACAGTTTTCTGTCTTCATACAGGATGTCAGCATATCGCCATCACGAAGCCGTACTTGTGTTTTCCTACGGCGAGTGTAATTGTCTACAAGCGTTGGCTCCGGGCTCAGTTAAAGTCGTCGAAAACGTTACACGTCCAAACAAACCATGCTGCCACATCATTTTTTTTTCCCTTAAAGCTGAGGCAACTAGATGGTGACACTGATGTCCTCTTTCTCCAAATAAAATAGATCTGTGGTTGTTGATGTGTAGACATGGTCGCTCTCGGGGCTCAACTCTACTACGCTATATTATGTTGGTGACAATGTGATTGAGCAGTTCTGTCAATGTAGAAACAATTTGAGAGGTCGTGGTACTTGTAAGGGGCCCTGCATCACTGGCCATCCATCAATCTGCTTTGTAAACCGTGATATTTTGTACTGAATATTTATATGACACAATTAAATATCTTTAAAATCAACCACTCGTTTCTCTTTATGAGGTTTTCTTCCAGAATATTTCACAGATTTGTGTGTCTCAAGGTGCAACGTGAGGCATTTCTTTAACCCGAGGCAGCTACTGTAGATGGTGATGCTGATGTCCTCTTTCTCGCGTTAGCGAAGGCAGGAACAACTGTAATACACTCAAGTAAGAAAAAAGCTAGAGCGATTACACTAATGCTACAGATACACGCGATCTTGTTGCCTTTAACAAGGTCACTTCACTTGTCAGTAAGCTGTTCTCCTCAAAGCAACTTTGGTGTATGGAGAAATCGATAAAACACCAATGAGACAAAAATCAATCTGCTATCAGTTTGCGATTAAATGGGTTCAAGTCATTAATTACATGCAATCTGCTTGTGACAATACAGAGATTAACTCAGACAAATCAGTGAAAATCACAAATCTTTTCCTATTTGTTGCAAATTTGTTGTTGTCTACATACAAACTGACATTAATTGCTTTCAGAGTCTAACCAGACGACTCATGAGTCTGAACAAGAAACTCCTCCACAAATAGTGCTGAAGTTACTACAGGATGGTGATTTGACTGCAAAATGAGAGAGACTTGGGAAACTTCTGAAAACCTGTCTTCATAATGTTGAAGCTGACTGCCCGGCGGGGTGAATACAATATCCCATCAGCCTTTTACCCTTGAGGTGTAAAAAAATTAACATTCATTTTAATGTGGCTGTAGGCAGCAGAGTGATGTATAATATGTACTGTGCAATCATCATCAACACCGAAGACACCTGACATCTAAACACATTTTAAAGTATACACGATAAACATTTTTTAAATTACGTTACTCGACGCTATTACAGTAATTTGATTTCTTTAATTTAAAACTTATTTGCCTTGTGTCTTAGATACAGCAGACGTTATTAATCCCACACTGGGGAAATTCACCTGTTACAGCAGAACAAGGGTTAGAAAGAAAAAGTGTATTGGAGAGTTTTAGTAAACAATAAAAATATCATTTGTATTATTTGCACCTATTTGTTCCTTTTATCAATAAAACCTCAGCTGTCTGTGAGTTGTGAAGTACGGTGCTCCCGGTCTGACTTAAAATAGATTTGTAGTTGTTGGTCGTTAATGTGTAGCCATGACAACCGGCCTCATTCACAAATTGTGCATATGAACAAATTCAGAACAGCCTTAACCTTTAAGAATGAGAAAATGATTAATTTTTAGTTGTGTTTTCCATGAGCCAAAAATGCTCAGTAAGATAATAAATTATTGGCAGAAGTTCTTACTATTTACATAAAACATTCAAATCTCTCTAAAAATCAGCTGCTGTGAGGTTTTCTCTTTCAGAATAACATTGTTTGACAGACAGCTGTGTGGCAGCTCTAGTGGACCACTTTCACTTTCTTCCCTCTAGTTATGAAGAAAAATGTAACTTTTATCTGAAATGTGACAGCAGCCACAGGCTAGTAAGCTAGACAGCTACCATCCTCACAGGTACGTATTTATTATCTACAATAAATCTCAGTATAAAAGACCCGATTCTAGACGTCAGATAGTTATTAATATGACGGCTTTTGCTAAATAGCTGGATCCAGAGGCTACTGAGCTGAGGAAATTGTTAATTAGACAATCTATAATTAAGATCTTTTAGACAGCCAATCGGATTTAGAGAGAGGTTAAAACGAGAGTAGAGGAGGGGGGTGGAAAAAAAAAAAAAATCACATTTTGATTATTAGAGGATGAGTGGCAGATGTGAGACAGATGGTGACACTGTAGTGAGGGAGTATAACGGACTCATCCTGTTTTAGAGGTTTAGAGATCAGAGTAGGAGGGGATTACAATTAATACAAAAAATAAATAAATAAGAAAATCTCACTTTTTGGCCCAGAATCAGAAACTTTATTTACAATAGATGCTCTGATGGTTTATTTAACAGTTCTTACTCCATTTTAAAAAATGGGTTTTTTTGCCATGTGCCAGTAACACGGTGAGGTCCTGCTGTGGCTTTGTCTTTAAAAAGGTTCCACTCTATATTTAACATACACATAAGACAACATAAAGCCACCTTTGACAGAGCCGGAGTGATAAACAGCATAAAACATGTACGCATGAGGCTTCATTTCTAATTCCCTTTGCCCTTTGTCCTACTTTTACTTTGAAAATACTGGCCACAAAGCTAGTTTCCCCCCAAATATTTGTGCCAACGGTCACTTCGACCCAGTTGATCCCTACCTAAAACCCATCTATCTTCCTTACTACATCTTCACGATCAACTAGTGGCACCTCCATTTTGCTAGCTCTTGCCTGAACAGCTGCAACATCTGCAGAGAAGGCTCCCTAATGTGGACCCGGGTCCTGATTGGCTGTCCCAAAGAAGGCGCTGTCACTTCCTGTACTCTTCCGAGTCTTCGGTTTCCTTCTCCTGCCGCTCCCGCTCTCGTCTCATCTCCTTCAGCTCCTGCCTGTATTTCCGCTCGATGAAGCGCTTCTGATGAGCCATCTGTGGGAAGTTATCTGGTACAGGGAGAGGCAGAGCGGGAAACACAGGAGTCGACCAAGGAGAACAGATAAAGAGAGAGAAACACAGAAGCAGAGGTGTGAGGAGACAAGGTCAGTTTCCAACTGGGTGAGGACAGCAATTTAGTTCCCAAATTGCACTGACTATGGTTTTCATAGCATGTGTCATGCTGTCACTTAGGTCAAATGAGCGAAAATGTTGCAGGCTGTATTGAAATTAAATTGCCCTCATGTTGTTATTTCATTAATAATGATGAAGTAACAAGGAATTAGACAGGCCTTGTTTGGTTTCAGCACAATGACTGTGAGATCTGATAACATAATTACAAGCGAACATTTCGAAAATGAGATCTGTAATAAGATGGCATAGTGTGACAGCAGGAAGAAAAATATCAAACAAAAACAGATACAAGCTTAAAGGTATATAAGCAGCAGACAAAAGAAACTTAACGTTTTGAAATTGTGTCTATTTGAAACTTTCATATTAAACTGCTCGTTTAGAAACCTCTTTTAAAGCTGCTACTATTTGGCGTTCAACCAGCAAACTGCAGCTTTGGCTACATCAGCCATTAGTTTCTAAAGAGAAGTTCTGAGGCCTCGATTTGAGTTTTCTGCTCGCTGCCAACTTGGCTCGAGTCGTCTCCAAATGTGGTGAAACACACAGGGAGCCCAGGCTCAGGAAGTGGGAACCACAACAACTGAAGTGCTCAGGACTCGTGTCAATCAGAGACACACTCTGAACCACTTTCTGTGAAAGTCTCCACCAAGACGCAAATTGGTTTCTGTTTCAAGATTTCCACATTTCTGTGTCACATATTTTCATTAAGAGCTGTGAAATGTGGGGGCGGCGTACTCGGGAGAATGTGCTTAAAAGGCTAACGGCAGCAAATACGGGATTACGGATATATCTGGCCCGAGTGACGGATACACAAAGGAATATTTTATTAAGTATTCTGCTGCATCAATTTTGCAATGACTAAGTGTTTACACCTTTTTTTTAATTTCAACTTTTTAACCTTTAAGGGAAAGAAACACCTTTGAGATTAAAAATATCATTTGCAAGAGGTTCAACTTAGATTCAGGCTCGGAAGTTTTTAGACAAAGACACTTTTTTTCTTTTTTGCCTTTATGCACCACCACAGTGGATTATAAAGGAAACTATTGAGCTGTCATTCAAGCGCAGACTCTCAGCTTTAACTCAAGGGCTCAAGGCTCTAAAGTAACTGAGAAGCACTTTTGTGGCCAGGTGAGGCCTGTTCCCTTGTTATTTCATGACAAACAAAGTAGATTAGAGATCTGGAGTTAATTCTAAGTGATGAACTTCAATGAACTCTCAATATGAGGTCCAAAGAGCTGCCAGTGCAACTCAATGAAGCAACTCAAGGTGGCTGCAGTAAAGGCCTCATAGAACAGCGGTCCCCAACCCCCAGGCCACGGACTGGAGTCCTTTGGTACTGGGCCGCGAGAGTTGCACCTCGGGTGTGAAATTTATGGTTTTCAGGGGTTTTAGCAGTTTTTATTGTTATTTTTTTTATTATTTTTATCGTTAACTCTGTTTCCCTGGGTCTTTTCACATGTTTTATGAATAAATCTTCTTTTTTGGTACTGGTTTTATTTTGGTGTATTTATCCGCGACACCTTAAAGGCCAGGCCGTGAAAATATTGTCGGACACAACCGGTCCGTGGCGCAAAAAAGGTTGGGGACCGCTGTCATAGAGCATTTCAAGGAATGGACCTTCTGTCTAAAGAGAACATGGCAGCATGAACAAACCACAAGACTTCTGCAACAATCTTTGGACAGATGAGACCAAAGTTGAGGTATTTGGCTGTACTTTGGAGAAACCCAAACACAACATGTCAGCACAAACACGTAATACCAACTGTCGAGCACGGTGGTGGAGGGGTGAAGATTTGGGCTTGTTTTGCAGATCACACAACCCAAGAATACAGCAGGCAATGGTGGATAGGAACTTTGTAGCAAAGGTTGTGTAAGTACTACGAAGATAACTGTATAAATAATGTTACAGAAATCACACAAGTAGAAGCAACTAGTTTTGCATGCCTCAGATACCCAGTTCATTTTTTTTCCACCCAGTGCTGAAAATGACACGAAAGACAGTCAAAATCGATTAAAATTCCTTCGGATTTGCAATCTTGGAGCTTTGGATGGTTGTGAAAGATGAAAAAGTTGTGGGAAAAACAACTGAAACATCAGTTACTTTAAAAAAAAAAAGAATCAAAAACATGTCTTCGTGTTGGTTGGAATTTCACAAGAGCTGTAGGAACAATTCAAAATAAGAATCAAAGAATCAAGATGAGAATAAAGTAATTTAAAAGAAGAGAGGCCAATGTCAAGCTAGTGAGTCTAGCATCAAAATGTCAACTGCTAATGAACAAAAGTGATGCATTCCTTTTTTTAAGCTACTTACGTGAGCTTTTTCTCTTCATGTTTCAGACATTTGAGTAGATTTTTCAAAGGTGACAAAAATGCCTGT